GCTGGGCGCTGGCTGCAGGGAAGCCATAGCTGCGCCAGCCTGAGTTAGTAGAAGCAGTAGAGGGGTTAGTAGTAGGATATCAGTGAGAGGCATTCAGAGTAGATTCTCCTAGATGAGGAGTGTGCATGCATAGTGAGAGAAGGGAACCAAGACAGGGATCTTGAGAGAGAGAATACAGAGAGAGAGAAGACAGGCTACGAAGTGGGATATGGTGAATGCTTACCTGTTTGCACCACACTAGTGATCTGAAGGGAGACGCTGGTTGAGCCAGGCTCTATGCTGGCAAATGAGGGAAAAAGACTTGCAGTTTGTTGGCGCTGAACTTTGAACTCAAGATACTCTTGTATAATATGAATTTGATAATATGAGCTGCGTTTTCTGGTTCCTATCTCATCTCGACATTGGCTTTGAGTGAAGCTATCCTATCTGTGTGATGACGAATGTGCATGGCAATTGAACACTCCAGCAATTGTGAACAGTCAGGCTCCTTGCAAATGGGAGGATTAGCTTCTTTGTTACCTTTTACTTATGCTGTGATGCTGATAGGCAGCAATTTGGCGGCAAGGCATCATTTAGATCAAGGAAATGGGCCGGGGATTGTGGGAAAATATTGCAAATAATTCTTTCATACAACTGATTCTCTCTCCTCTGTGCTTGTATGTGAGCACAGTTCCAAGCAATTCACAGGTTGTTGTTGCATGGCTTCCACCTGGAACCGATATTGCAGGTTTGTTGTATGTTGTTGAGATGGTCCTCAAGCTCTTCGGACGAGGCTGGACACGGTACTGGATGGGGTATTTAAGCCGCGTTGACTTCATTATAACATGGTGTATAGGTATGCGATGTATAACCCTACGGATACACACATGACTGGCAATGTGGCATTGCATGTGATCAAGAGTGTCACCTGCTTTCATCCATTACTCTGTAGTTCCTCGTACCTTGTTTTCTCTGTTTTTCCGAGAAATATGCCCTTATTCCCAGTGTGCGGGGTATCAGTTGGGTTCCTTTTCTACAGCAAACTCATCAGTCACTCATCATAACATAGGATACCCACACATGGTTCCACTGGCCGCGCCCTAACCCATCTCACCCAGAGAATGCTCCTACTCTGCTACCAGCCTGCATGTGCACCATACGCATGGTGCCTCCAGCTGCAGAACGTTTGCACAACTGCCAGCTACCATGGAAACGAGCCCAACTGATCAGCTTGCACTCCCGGCATCTATCCCTCCTACTCCTGCATGGCTTCCACCCACCCATTTTTCCACCCGACTACATCTGCCCCGCTTTCTCCAGGCCAGGATCATGTGTTATGAACTTATGATCTATGTGCGTTGATGCTGTCCAGCACAACACATGCCCACACATGCACTCAAACCGCTCACAGCAGCCAATCAGCTCAGACAATTTGTGGTTCACATGCCAAGGAGAACTGACGTATAGAGTATAGTCATACCGCCCCTTCTTCCTCCTCCGAAACGCCTCCCCACAGGGCCAATCATTATCATTTTCTGAATGAGAACATGGCTTCAGTGAAACACTAAGAATCAGCAACCGTGAACTGCCTCAAAGTCTCTCTCTCCTCTCTTCTCCCATACTACCCGCCAGCTCTGAGGAGCCGCCATCTAGTATCTCACCCCCTACTGACCCTCTTCTGCCCTCGAAGGGCTGACTACTCCCGCTACCTCTACCCAGCACACACGGCTTCAGCCAGCACAAGCAGATTAGTCTCTCACAGCAGTGAACGGGCAAATGTGGCTTCCTTCAGTCAGCATTCAGGCAGTCTAGCAACAATCCTGCAGATGTGTGTTTGACTTAACTGGCTGGACTTATATATCAGATGGCCAGCCAGTCAGGCTAAGTGCTCAGCCTGCTTCAGGAAATGGGCCCAGATAGAAGTTTTTGTGGGCTGGTACCGCCATATCTGTCCACTTTCCGGGCGCGGTACAGTAGCACTGGAAATGACTGCTACCCTGCTTTATTTTTAGACCTAGCCAAATCCGTTTTAGCAGAACAAGCTGTGGGGGCTTCGCCTGCAGTGCACACCTGCTCCTCCCTTTCTTTCTCTGACACCTGCCCACCTCCTCCCCCTCCTTCTCCTGCCGCTGCTCCATCACCTTCTCCTCGTCTCCTCCTCTTCCTCCTCACCCTCGTTCTTTTCCACCTCCTCTCCGTCCTGCTCCCCCATCCCCTTCCTCCTCGGCCACCTCGTCTTCTGCTGCATTCTCCTTTGCCATTGCCCGCCATGTCCTTCTCCTGCTCCCCCTCACATTGTCTCCTCCTCCTCCTCCCTTCCTTCTGGGTCATCTGTGCAAGCAATCAAGGGGAAAAAAAAGCATACATCAGTCAATCAGTGCATCAGTTCATATGCCTGTCCATTCATCCTGCATGCACTATCCGCAGGTAAGTACCATGAGAGAGTTAGTACGGATACACTGCCTGTGTAAGACATCTCTCGACATGTCTGGGCAAACAATTGTATGGATCCACTCCTTTTCACACAGTCTTGTACATGTACTGTAGACCCAAGCAGATGTGTTATTACAATTCCACTTCTTACCGCTTGATTTGCTGCCGTGTGGCCGCTTACACCTTGTACCCTTTGCTGATTATGATGTCGTGTTGTGCTCCTGCTGGTTGCAGTTGCAGTAATCGTTGCCCAAGCTGTTCAGGGTCCTTTCACCGGCATCAATTTGTACTGGTGAGTAGAAGTATCATCAATTACAGGGTTTTCCTCTCTCACCTTCTGTAACTCTCAGGCTACAATAGTGTCGTGAACCAAGCTGAGTGCATGGGATAAATAAACGCAAGTGAAATGTGTATGCATACAATGCAATGAAATCCCAATAGAGAGCGAGTGGCCAGCAAGAGAAGGAAGTTGCGGTATGTCTGGGAAGAGAGTGAAGGCTTTTAGGGGACAGAGAGGGGGGGGGGAAGGGAGGGGGGCTGCTGACACAATGTGTGTGTGTGTGTGTGTGTGTGTGTGTGTGTGTGTGTGTGTGTTGTAAGATAAATAAGACCCCATGTTATGATCCTGGCCAATTCGCAGTACACATTCATCTCACGTGTGAACTCTCGTGTGAATGTTCATTGATGTATGCGAGGTGAAACTCAATGAGAACTTGGTTCATTTCACATGTATCTGACTGCAAATATAGCCAGATCCAGTCAGAAAAGTCCACTTTGAGTGCATCCTAATGGAGGCAGCAGCCAGGGGCATGCTTGCATTTATTGCTCTATGACCCCCCTTCCCTTTTCCCTTGCCTGCTTTTGGCTACCGCCCTCATGCTTTCTGCATCTTCCCTCTGTGTGCTACCTTCTGTTACATGCACAGATATGTGATGTTCGTAATAACCGAGGAACTGCAGTGTGATAAAAAGGACTGAAATGGACAATGCGGTGAGAGTAGAATCTCGACAGACAATGTGCATTCTCATACATACAAAAGTGCTGAATAGCGCAGGGAAGACTTAGATACAAAGACTGACCTTACAAGGACTGACCTCACACACGTAGTACAAGTAGCGAAGCAGAATGCTAGAATACCAATCACGAGCCCAATCAATGTTTGAACTCAGACTAAACATGCATCGTATCCCTCACCAGGTGTGAAGGAGCCTGGCGCTGCACACAGGGAGAAAGCGCCAGGTCCAGACATACACAGACGAAGAGGTAAGGACCAGACGAAAGGAGGGGGGGAGAGATGGGAGTGTCGTTAACACCAAGTCTTGGTCACCAATCCCAAATAACCCCTCGTTGCCATGTCTGAAGTCCCCAAAAGTCGAGTCTGGATCCGATATCACCAACCCCGGTATCTCTTCTCTCGCA